ACTCGAGCAGTTCGCGATTCACACGGTTGTCACCTCTAGCAAGAATTGACGAGACAAATTTGAGTAGCCTGGGATTATGAGTCAACATTGTTGACGTACTTGCTTCCTATCAGTAGGCGTGCTTTTATTAGGTTTCATACTTACAACTGCCAATTGGGCGAAGGAAGGGCGGTTATGCTGTAAAGTCCTTCATGTTATTGCTCCAGCTATGTTTGCTTTATTTGGTGTATAGGGTCTGTCAGGATGATTTTCTCCTTCACTGTAACCGCCCCGATAACGAGGCGATGTAAGACTGCCTATACGGGCACATTGCATTGCACCCCCCACACGGAAATCTTCAGTAAAAGGCGAAATCCTGGACCTTTGCGGATTGCGATTTAACACGCTTTACATTATGCTTCTACCTGCAAGCTGCCTCAGTCGTGTTAACAGGCAAATACCCCCCACCTCCCCTGCCTTTACGAAACTGCCGGGTTGTATTTGATCGCTGGGGGGAGGCCTCCCATATCGCGTTCCCTGCGGCTACCGCGCCAGTTAGCTTGGCGCGTAGGCGTTGGGTGCACTTAATCGGCGCAGGTTTGCCTTTCGTTGCTTCCCCATATAGATTTTAAACCCGGTCGCTGGCTTCCTGTGTGGTCTACTAAGGCCGCTTGCTTTCTTTGCCTGCCGTACGGCTAATTTCCCCGCCCCTTCACCCCACCACAGCTGGCTTAGGAACAGCTACCCAACAATAGGGCTTCGGTTTTGCTTTGCACTTTCACGGGCTTAGGTGTACGTCCGGACCTCGGGATCTCTGTGCGGTCTCCTTCGATCGCTTTCCCTTTGCGCGTCGGCCGATTTCGTACGTCCGTGCGGTTGGGCGGTTTGGCCGCCTTTCGGCGACCAGTAGGTTTGGCTTTCCCGTTGAATTGACGGTTAGCGTACTTACGAAGTAGCCTTTGGATTGGTCAAGACCGCCAGCTAGGGTGTACATTGATTTACCATCAATACCTTCAAACATTACGCATTCAATTTCCGTTGGCGCATGTTTGGCTGGGGTTATGGGATTAAACGGGAACAAAAGTTCAGAGGTAAGTAAGTTCAGAGGTAGTAAGGAATTCACTATTTATGTGCGGAGTATGAAAGAACTACAAACTTTTCCCGCTGCACCCGTTCTCAATGGCCAAAATGTCCATTGCCTGGCCATTCGGCTGTTCCGTCTGACTGTTTTTACAGTGGCCGCTATTATTCAACTAGGTGTACAACATCATTAACATGTTACTGCTTACCTTTCTGGTCAGCTGCAAATTATCTCGGTTTCCGATTGCGCTTCCGATACTGGATAGGCCTGAGCAACATGGGACAGGAATCTTTCCCAGGACTCTGCAAAATTACTTGCTTTCAGTCCGAACCACAGTCGGTACTGTGCTTCATCGAGGTAGGCCCATATCCTTCGGCCTTTCGTAGGTCCGCGTTTGCGCAACTTCTTTTTCAGCCTACTCCAATAGGCCTCAATTGCGTTCGTGTTCTTTCTGGAGGTGGGGTCCACAAAATTTTTCGAATGATTCACCGTTTCGTGCCGGTATCCCTCTTCACTTAGCTTTGCATATGCCTTCCACTGGGCAGTCACTATTATGCTTCCGGGAGCAACCCATTTCTTTAAAACGGCCTTCATGGAGGACCAGCTGCGATCGTTTACTTGCTCAAATATCGCTTTCCGTTTACATGTATCGTACATGCCTGTGATTGGTCATCGACCTGCAGACCCTTACCCAAAATCCAGTGCTCATTTCTTAACCGTCCGACATTGTACTTGCGACGCGTTATCAGTGTTTCATCCACTTGAACTTCAACTTCCGGCCCTCCTAATTGTTTGGCTTCCTTGAGGAGGGCCTTACTGCAGACATCCCGCCAGATGTCATACCATTGGACTGCCGCAGTCACACCTATGTCAACCACAGCTGCGCATCTCACCACACCGGTTCCCTCCAAAAACGCAACGGCCGTTCTCAGTGCCCTTTTGGTGCCACATTTGTTACACCTGCGCAATGCATTATATTAATATTTTCTTGTACCTGAAGGCAAACCCGTCCGTGTGCTGCCGCAATATTCGCAAAGTCATCGACTTACGACAGCGACATCTAACTTCCGTCGCCAGCAGTCCTTTAGCTTGCAAATATTGCACTAAATACGGGGACTGGATAATATCCAGGATCTGTCCAAACTCCGATGGATTATTTGCTTGTGGAGCGGCCTTCCGCTTCTTCTTCCCTAATAGCAAAATGTGCTCTGAATGAGCTAGCAGGGAGCTCGTTTTGCGAGGTACGCGAGCTCTGCTGGAGCTCTGAAATGGTCGTCGATCAGAGCTCGTACGGAGCTCTCGAAAACGAGCCCAAAATGAGCTCTGAAAAACGGGCTAGCGAGGTCGTTCCGAGCTTGACCCGAGCTCCAAAAAACGAGCTCCAGCGCTTACCCAACCAGGGGTTCCCCTCACTTGTGCTGCCCAATTCCCATTAATAACCGCCCTTTTTTCCCGGTAAGGTAAATAGAGGAACACATGTTTGGTCTAAGAGGATTTTATTATAAAAAAATAGTTATTAATATATCTGTGTTTTAATACAATAAAAGATTAAGCCTGTTCCTCTCTGTTGTAATCGGCGGCTTCTGCGATATTTGAGGAGTAGTCTAAAAGGGAAAGATTTGGCAGTGGTAAGTAAACATATTAAGATTTATTTTACATAGTAATAGCATCAATATACTAACAGGTACCATTTGATTGCCTACTGTGCGAAGTCCTATGGCACTTCCTTTGATAGCGATCGTGCCCCTTCTTAAATGCATTTTCTAATTGCTGGCGGTCCGAGTGGTGGTCCTTATTCCAGCGATTGAAGACGGACAGCAAATTTGCTGTCCGTGTTCTATAAGTGGGAAAAGTTTGGTAATTATTGAACAAATTAATAATTACAGCCTCAGTCCTCTACGTCCTGCGTATTTTGCATTCATACTTACCGTTGCTCGGGTTCCCTTTCCACTGCCCTGCTTGTCGTTGGCATTTCACTAGGATTCATCATCCGTAACAGTATCGTCTGGGGCACCTCCAGCGGAATGGCTTTGGCCTTGGGTGTCTTGTTCCCATTGGTTACAGCTTACTTTTTGAATTTTCGACACATTTTTCACCTCAAACAAATTCAATCATTAACTTTCTAAACCTATTTTTTACTTATTTTTTTAACTCTTCGCTGGGTTCCCGATTTTCCCCACCCTTAAAACCCCCTCTTCCCACCCATCCCGTATGACACGGACCTTCCGTTCGCTCGCATAGTCCAGGCTACATACAATTGTCCGACCGAAGAATTTCTGCTTCATCATGAACTTCTGAAATATCATGGACACCGGCTCACACAGTACGTCAGCTAATTTTCGGAGGACAGGTGGATAAATTTCATCTGGACTAGGTGATTTGGCAGGCTTCAGGCAAAGCAGTTCTGTCCTTATCAGCATGGGCGAGAAGCAAAGATTGTCTTCTAATGCAGGAGATGAAGGATTTTGTTGTTGGTCTGGGTAAGGCATAAGGAGTAGGATTTGTGTCATGGGTGAATACCGACTGAAAGAGACTGGAGAAGGCTGATGCTTTCATGTGGGCATCTGTCTCAATTACTCCGTTTTCGGACTTCTGCGCAGGGCTCGGATCGCGATTTCTCCAAGTTTCGGGCTCCACCGTGCCACTCAACTGTCCCCCCCCCCGCCCCCGGTCTTCTTGACTCTGTCTTGACACCGGGCCCAGGTGAGGTAGGAGTGAGTGCGGTAGGTGCCGTGCAAGTCCATTATCACTATAAACTAATTCACTCACACGTCACCATCCCTGCTCCCACCTTGCTGTGGAGCACACGGTGGACATCGTCGGCAACGACGGTCGGACTATCGGGCACGGAGGAAGTTTAACCCGACGATGACGTTTATTGTATGAGGGGGGAGTACATATTAAAAATGTGGGAGATCTCAAGACAGATCGAATGGCGCCAGTGTCAATGAGTATGTTGGTGGGTGTTCCACCACGACAGTTCGACCGTCATTTCCGACGATGTCCACTGTGCGTTCCACTGAAAGGTGGAGCAGGGACGGTGACTTGCGCGTGAATTAGTTTATAGTGATTGCAGGCCTGCGCAGCGTCTACCGCTCTCTCTTCCCCATTTCCCACCTGGACCCGATGTCAAGACATATCAAGAAGATCGGAGGCGGGTGGAGGGCGCAGGTGGATTGCACGGTCGAATCCGCACCTTGGCGTTCCACTCCACGCCCCCCGGTCCACACAGCAAATAATCAGATTTTTGACCAACAACAACAACAACAATGAAGCGATGGCAAGGGTCCCACTGTGCGCGACGTCTGCCACCGCACCCCAAAATGTTGACATTCGTTATGGTGCGCAATCCGATACGGCTCCCGTGTTGGTCCAGCGCATCTACCACGCGGCCCGTTTGGGGGACACATATAAGTTTCACCAAATGTGCCAGCGACTGTCAGTGGGGAATCCGTGGGTAGTGAGGAGGAAATGAAAGGTAATAGAGAAAGAGACGTCCTACCCGAGGGGTTATTGTGACCACACTTACGAGCTCGATCCTTGATCTGCTGACAATACCAGCATCCTCGGTCGCATATTTTGCGTTGACCCTGGGGCTGCTGGGCACGCGGCGAGCCTCTTGCTGTGGTGAGGCCGACTCGAATATTCTACCGGAGGCATTTCACATGGCCCTATTGGTACTTTTTATGCATTTCGTTGCTGATTGTGTCTTCTCAATGCTTAACTCTCTTGCGCTAAATTAATCCCCTTGAGCTCTTGTTGAGTGTCCTAAAGGTAGAACGGTGTGCTTGGGCTTGTGCGACTCTGCAGTGATTCTTCGGTTCTCCAGTTGGCAAATTCATCATGATGTGCTCTCGCCTTCCATCCTTCGGAAATTCCTATCGGGTATGTTTCATTCAGCTTCGGCTGCTTCTTACTTGTGCATGGTAGGGCTGTGAGCATGCCTGACCTAGCTGACCTCTGTGATGCTGTGAGCTGTAGCCAAACACGCGTAATTGTCCATGACACTGGATCTGAAGAACTGGACGCATTCTCCTCCGCCAACGGAGGTTGGATATCGAAGGTCCCTTAAACCACTTCCAAGTCATGATGGACTCCTTTGAGCGCTTCCGAGAATGCAGCCGATGATGTGACGGAGTACGACCCTGCTGAACGTCAAATTAAATATCTAATGACTGGGAGAGGTCGTTGTAGGCCAGAACTGGCATATTTGCAAAGCGATGACGGACGCTAATCGTGCTAATGACTTTTTGCCGGCACACCGTGTAGTACGATCGTCCGCCACGCGGACTCATAATGGCCGGAAACGTTTTCAGCTACGAAATCAACAAAGTAGACGTCGGAATCCATGAATGTGTCGCATTGTGGATATCTGCACGTTGCGTTAATGTTCAACTCATAACCTGCTTTGGTCAGTTAACCGCGCACTGATATCACCTGAGAATGTCAGTGGAGGCGATCTTTCCAGTATTGTCGGTTAGACCTATACCGAAGTTGCTCTCGCACTTTTTCCTCCCCCCCTTTCTGAAAACACACACAAAGGGGTGACAAAGTCCCAGTCATCGGGAAAGGGCGTGGTTAACCACCTTACGGGCCAGGCCACCGATGTTGGCAAGGGACTTATAAATTTTAGTGTGGATACCTTACCCACCGGGCGCCGTGTTTCGCGACCTCGGTAATGTATTGGCGATATCTTTCCGAAGAGGGTGGTCACTTGACATTTCGTAAACTTGAGGCAGATACAATTATGCCGCAGAAGAGTGATGGGGTAGTGGGTTAACCATCGAAGTTGAGGTACTCGAAGGGCTCACTCCAACGCTCTGCCTTTGCCGAGTTGTCGGCAATAAGGCCTTCACTCACCTGGCGAACAGAGTCTGCGCAGAGGACGCACTGCCAAATTGGCAAATAATTCGGTTGACTTTTGCGTGTCGCCAACGTCTGAGCCTTGTTCCACAGAAATGGCTGTTTCTGTCCAATAATTTTCGACTCTGCCGTCATTTTCCGAAGTTGGCCGAAGGGATCTTCGTTTGCGGACCTAGTTCGAGCTGTATAGACTGGCAATCATAAGATCCTTGAGGTTATTCAGCCACGGCGGCGCCGTGGTTCAAATCCGAAGATTTTCATTCGATTTACTAACTGGAAACTTCAATAATAGCCATTTGTTGCAGCCCCCTCCTTCGACTCTTGTCCCAAAACGAGGCCAGATTTCCATTTTCGGGCCGTTGGCTGTGCTGGTTGTTGTACATTTTGGGTATCGAGGCTTCTCACACGCGACAATGTAGGGGTGGCTGAGAGGAGTACTCTCGAGCGTGTGCGAGTGATCACATGCTCAGGCCCATAGGTGTTGCTAGTTTCAGCACCACACACCAATCTGAAAATTGGCCCAGCTAGATGATTTCGTTGCAGAATTCTGCCGATGAATGGGCCGAATGCTACTTCAGTTATTTTGGTTCCCGTCTTAAACTTTGTGGTCCGGACACTCGCCAAAGACATCGCAGCTTGGGCCCTGACGCTACGTTCTTACAAAGGTATGTACCTCTGTGTAAGTAAATGCTCTGCGAGGATGTATTTTCAGAATATTCCGCAGAAATATGCTGCACTCGGCTTCGACTGCGCTACCGACTTTCACAGTCTTCTTGTTTGGCTATGCACTAGTTCCGCAGCAGAGGTCGTCTATCGTAAACCATCTCCTTATGTTTTTATGTAGTTCTTTTTTCATTTTATGCAACGATTCATTAAACTTTCAACTTCTCCCACCCCTTGCTACATTCAGCGACCTTTGATGGTCATCATGGACCGGTCATTCTTGGCTCATTAACCAGTCACCACTGGCTCCTCTAATTCATTTTATATTGGACGTCTCAATGCAAATCGTGCTTACGAAGATTTTATGGTGCCTGTATTCCGATGAACACTTATCATGAGTGGAGACCTACACTTGTCTGGTTCGTTGTGGAGTTTGTCCAGAACTTCGAAGTGGCAGGCGGGGCGTCGGGACTTGCAGAGACTGCAGTCAAGATCATAAAATGCCGAAAGTCGACGCAAATCAGGGTTGAGCTCCCGAGCTATCTGCACTTCACCCCAACCGCGTTTTCCCTCCTGACTTTGACTTTATCGCACTCTCTCTGGAACCACGAATGTTTTTATTTCGATGCAGTTATTTGGGGGATTTTGACCTCTATCAGCTGCGGTTGTACGCACGCGACGGCATACGAATGGACACTGGGCGCCAGGCTGCCATGCTTTCGGGCGTATACCGGTGGATTCACTGTGATCTGCAGTGGCCAGCCTGTATGGTTCTCCCGCCGTGGGGGTCGGGAACCTGGGTGTACGCCTGTGAATCCGTCTATACCGGCAACGCCTCGTTTTCCTGCCCCGCGCTCGACTTATGCAGAGTGTGCCTCCGACCTCTCCCAGGCCTTGGAGGCATCGGGCGTTGGGATTCTCCCGAGTAAGGGAGATTGGTGTGGCTCGTCTTCGTCCGTCCAGAAGCCGCTCCTTCGTTGCCAGTTCGCCGTGTCCACTAGGATCCCCCAGATAACTGCATCCGCCCCGGCCTCGACGGAATTCAAAGTGTTCGTGCTGCCCACCACACCAGACATGATCTTGTTCGCTTTGGTGACAATTTCCCGTGTACACTTTTCTGTCCCAACTTTCGAAAAGTCCGTTTTCCCTCAGTACAAAAAAACAAATTTCCTCTCTTTCCTATTAAAGCATTGGAATTATCATGGCAGTTTGTTCAGCTCTGTAAGGCTTCGCAGTCACGCAGATTTACATTGAGGCTCCGTGGCCACGTGGTTGTTAGTGTGCAGTTACTAAGCCGGTTTTGATTTCAGTGGTCCCTGATCGCAAGACGCCGTTCTCCGAACACAGCCATTAACAATTCTACATTTACTCGCCGCAAACATTCACAGTCTATAATTGGTGGTTTGTACGAAGCATTGTGTGGAACCAGTAAGGTCTTTGAGACTGAGCTTGTTTATGGAAGTGGGAGTAGCCATCTCGGTAGCTACATTATCGGGGGAGGATTTGCAATAACTCTTCCAGGATCCATCCGGACAGACCCCTTCTATCGTTAATAAAGCCATGGTCCAACAGCTTTTGCTGAACATTAGACCGTGTGTGCAAACCTGCGCACACGGTCAAAAGAAGACCAAATCGGGCGGTCGCGTGCGCCGTAGCGTGGAAGTCCTAACAGTGCTCCCCCGTCAGCATCTGTACGTCGTAGATCTGGCTTCTCGTATTGACATGGGCACGCCGATCTGTTCGGTGTTTTGAATTACGCCTTGCCTTTTGATGGCGGGGACAGTAAATTGCACCCGACAGTTTGACCGTCGTTGTCAATGGTGTCCACCGTATGCTCCACAGCAGGGTGAGAGCAGGGACGGTGACTTGGGCATGAATTAGTTTCTAGTGATAGTAGACTTGCGCAACATCTACCGCACTCTCTCTTCCCCACTCCCCACCTGGACCCGGTGTCAAGACATAGTCAAGAAAACCGGACGCAGGTTGATGGCACGGTCGAGCCCGCACCTTGGTGCTCCACTCCATACCCTAGTCCACACAGCAAATGACCAGGTTTTCGACTAACAGCAACAAAAGGGGGTGGCAGGGGTCCTAGTGTGCGCGACATCTGCCGGCAACTGCGTCTACCACCGCACACCAAAATGTTGACGTTCGTTATGCTGCGCAATCCGATATGGCTCCCGTGTTGGTACAGAGCATCTGACACGTGACTCGTTTAGGGGGGAGGGGCAAAAATTGTATCTACCAGCCAGGAGACAGGACCTTTGCTATTTTAAATATCAGTAGTATGGCGTTTATAGGACACGGCTCAAGTATTAGGTTACCTGACTCGAGGGTATGCCACTTCAAAAAAGGTAGAGGACATAGCTGACTTCAGCAGCTCATGAGACATGATCATAAAGATCGCAGATTAGTGGGGGTAGTGGGACAGAGCGGAACGGTACTTACCTGGTAACCTGTATCGGCGAGCACCGACCACATGTTTCCTGGCGGTACGAAACAGCGTGACCGTCGTCTACAATTACCGGCTGGGCCGTACTGTTGTCAAGTCGGTGGTGCGCGGGTGTGTTCCACAGCGGCGACTGTGGCCTCACCAGGTAGTGACATCCCGCAATCGAAGTGCTGTCTTCTGCGCATGCCCTCGGCTAAGACACGGACACTTCTACCCCCTCATTTTACTGCTTGGGATCTCTGAAGTCACTCATTGGGCCAGTCCCTTCTTGTACTTACCCTGTTTCTTGGCATGTTTTTGTTCCTATATCCACAGTTTTTGGGGGCTGGTCGGGATGACGGTTTGTGCGCGAGTAGGCAGAAGCATGCATGGATAACTCACACAAATTGGGCTAGCAAAGTGGTCAAGAGGGGAATTCGGAGTCTTGAGTTGCGCTGCGGACAGAGCGCGTTGATCCCGAAGCCTGTTCTGGCCGGTAAACCGTTCTGACGTCAACCTGCGTAACACCTGTCCCAGAAAGTACATACATACTTTCCTCCTATGCTACACAGAGGGCATATTCCATTGCCGGAAAAGGGGACCGTAGGTTCTGGTTATAACAGAGGTCAGCTCATTAAAAGCAGTGACTATTAAGCCGTTATGTGAGTGTACGTGTGAGTCATCAGGTTGTCTCATGGAAGGGCCGTTTCTGGATTGGGACTGCTGACGCCTCGTAATCCACAGTTGCTAGGCCAAGTCTCGGTTAGTGGAAGGCAGGATCCTGAGTTGTAATCACGGGCGGTGTGGTGGTGACCGTTGGCGAGGCCAGGGTATGTGTTAACCGTGAAGTCATGCCTGAGAGAATGCGTTTCCTATCGACCGCTCCTATGGGTCTGTGGAGGAGGTGAGGTCCAGGGACCTGTGTCCTAGTGGCGATGCTCCGGTATCAGGGCGTGGTGGTCGTCTTTTGCTCGTCGGAATGCGTGTGCGTTCGGGTTGGTCGGTTCGGTGGCTGCTTAGCAATCGGGCCGGTCGTCCGACAGCTGGGGAAGTACCGACTAACGTAAAATTGGTTTGGCAGCTGTGGTGCTTAAACCAGAGGCGTGTGACCTGGATGGTGCGACACACGCCCTTTCTAGGTGGACAGTGAAATGGTGGCTGCTTCTACAAGGTCGCGAAATCCGTTAAGCAGGAAGCATGGTTTTAGGGTAATTCCTTCGCGGAATGATATTGGTTTTCGATTGAGCGCCGTCTAACAAATTTCCGTGGATTATACGTGAGTGAAAATTACTACTTGCTGAGTTCGGCTATTGATCACTGTTATTCGATTCCCGTATCAGTTTAGTCATGTAGAAGTGGTGAACAGAGCATTCGTTTGCTATGAGAACTTTATTGGGAAATAAGCGGGTGATTCCAGTGCTATTTCAACCTCCTTTCCTCATAGGGAACTATGTCTTCCGCCTTCAATTTTCTCAATGGAATGCAGAAGGGAAATTTATTTTGTCTCTGTGATGATGTGGTTTGGGGTTCGGTCGTACAGACGCGTTGCGCCGCTGGCGAAAGACAAAAACTGGCATGTGTTACTCTGTCTTCCTGAGTGCTAATTTACCGCCGTTGGAGCGTACCGTGCGTGTTATGCGGATATTCATGTTACGTCCGTCACTGTGTTCAATCCCATCGTCAGTCAGTCCGGGTCCGGGTTTCGAACCCGAAATGGGTCATGAGTTTAACTTCGCAGCCACCAGGATAGTCGCCTACGCCGGAGGCAACATAGGCCGATGAGAGCTCAACCAATCGATTTATCGATCTGGCGCTCGCGTGCGGAGACCCGTGCAGTCGCCTCCAGTCTTGCGTTTCCGATCGATGATCGGCTGGCACGCCCTGTAACTGGTACTCGTTCGTGGTCAGAGATAGTAGCAACTATGGTAGAGGGGCACTCACCGATCGTCTTTACGGAAATCACTCGCCCCGCTGTGCCTTAGGATTCTCTCTCGAGTCCAAACGGCAGCCGCACAGCGGCGCATGATATAGGCAGAATGGTATTAATGACAAAGACAAGGGAGACTGAAATGGCCATTTCTGGCTAGCACGCCCTATAATTGTTGCTCGTTAATTGTCAGAGATAGTTGCAACTATCTCTGACGATGGGCTTCTGCATAAGTTCGAAAGCCCAGAACAATAAACAGACTATTCCGGTGCTCGATCAGTCTTTTCCTTCTCTTATACATACACCTGAAATCCGAACTCACCTCCATTCTCGAGAGAGATGGCGGGGTCAGTTCTGAGACGCGCTTCCCCACACTGGCCTGTATACTACATCTGACGTCTTGGGGACTATCAAAACACGCCCTAATATCGTGACTTCGAATACGTCAAAATGAAGAAATAACCGGCTCCTCTTGGGAAGTCAGACTACATTGGTTCATTCCTTGTGCTACCTTTATGTCAGCCCCAATATCCTCTCTGTTTCAGAGGAATCCCAGTTCTCAGGGATTTGTCGATCAGGTCTCGTGTGCAGGTGCAAGATTTAATCTCGCTCGTGAAAGTGAAACTTGTCATACTTTGTGGAAGGAATCACACACTTTGCCTATTCCCAAGCATGGTCAGTCTGCGTCATTTGATGACGTTCGGCCGATAAATACCCTCCTTGTAATTTTGGCAATCTTAGAGACATTGACCAAAGATAAGATGATGTGCCACTTAACAGAGAGTAACCAATTGAGTGCTGCCCAGCATGGATTCCTCAAACTCGGTCTTGTGACATTTGTCAGCTCTCTTTCTTTGATCATGTTCTCCAATCTAGGGACAATGGCTTTGCACTTTATACAGTGCATTTCGATTTCACTAAGGATTTTGATCGTGTTAACCATGCTCTTTTTCTCTTGAAACTGTCCTCTTTCGGCATAGGTGTCAAACCTCTGAATTTTATATCCTCTTACCTGGGTGCTCGTACACAACGAGTTAAGCTTTCCAATGCTATCTCCAACCCCACATGTGTGAGGAGTGGAGGCATTCAGGACAGTGTACTCGGCCCGCTATTATTTTGCCTTTTTGTTAACGATGTACCAGAATTATTTCAGAATGGTAAGCCCTTCATGTATACTGATGATCTGAAAGCTGCATACAGGTATAAGCCGGCAGATCGTGACATCGTGCTCGAGCTCCTAAAGAGCGACCTGCATACCTTTGTCCAGTGAGGTCGCACATGGCGCCTTTCTCTTTCTTGGCATAAATGCTCAGTCATAGTGGTCGGCGACGACCGCCAACCTCAACTAAGTATTGTCGGTCACGGTACCTGGAATTATTAAGGATTTGGGTGTATCATACTCCAAGAGTCTCAATCTTTCGGGCACTGCGCCCTGATAGTCTCCAGGTAAGGATCTAGTGAACGCTCTAAGTATCGCCAACTGGCCACAGCCGCCTGTCTTACGGGAATGGTAGTAATAGCTATTTTACGAGTGGGTTTATCCTCCCAAGTGTCCAAACTAACGATATTTAAATGCGCCTTTACAAAGTGCACGTCAGACCTGGCCTGGAATACTGTTCGTTTCTATTTAGCCCCATGCCTGCTGCTGAGTGCAAGAAAACAGAGTCCATCCAACACTTTTTTTACCAAGACAGTTTTGACCTTAGACCGCCAATACTTAACCTGCCAGGAGCGTCGCGAACTTACAAACCTTGATATCTCGTGGTATCGTCGTTTGCGAAAGGGACTATTTTTGATGTCTAAGCTCTTAATCAATCTTACTTTTAACTCGCCTGCTACCTTAAAACCACTGGATTATCCCCAATGCAATAGTCACCGTGTGGTCTTTTTATTTCAACATCAGCGTCGTCGTCATCACCACCACCACCACCACCACCACCACCACCACCACCACCACCACCACCACCACCACCACCACCACCACCACCACCACCACCACCACCACCACCATCATCATCTTCTTCTTCTTTTTCTTCTGATCCGTTCCGTTAAATATCGTCATTTCTTTTCTGTGAATGCAATTGCAATTTGGAACAAATTACACAGCAGTGTAAACATTCAGAAAAATTATTCTTTGTTTAAGAGAACCATTACTCGATTTTTGCAGTCAGAAAATCTCCCACACATTTTGGGTACCGGTTCCATTGATTTAATCTACCGTATTGATGGCGTTCGTGGTCTCTGATTCCCCTGGCCCGTCTCACCACGGACACTTTCTTCATCCACCTGCAAAAACGGTTCTCCAGTGTCTTCGTTTGGTCCAGTAGCAAGTTCATATGAGGGAATTGAGACTGAAGATATTCGAAGCCATGTTACCCATCGCTTTCTGGACCGACGTCATTTCATGGGCAGCAGATTTTTCTCCTGCATTATCCGAGCTACAAAAAACACCATCCTCAGTATTTATTCATAAGGAGTTTTTTTTTACTCTTAGCCCGACCCGTGCTTTATTTTTCTTTTGCATTGCCTGAAAACTGGCATTAAATACTACTACTACTACTACTACTACTACTACTACTACTACTACTACTCCTCCTCCTCCTCCTCCTCCTCTCCTCCTCCTCCTCCTCCTCCTACTACTACTACTACTACTACTGCCATTATTATTATATTCGTTTTGCTGTCTGATTCCGGGTCTCTAGCTTCTTGAGTGTGTAGAACGTTGATGCAATTGTCGTAAATTCCCCAGCATGATTCCTTAACAATGAGCGACTTTTTGAACTTTGGTCGCCTTCTATCCTAAATACTCTTGTTGCTTCCCCTGACGTTTTTCCACTCCCATAGTCAATAACCTCCTTCTCTTTTCACCGGTAGGAGAGTAGTCCGGTAGGAATAAGCACTCTGCGATGCTTGTCTTCTAGCCTGTACCATCGATAGAAGATTAGAATGGCCAATTGCTTGCTTTCCAAAACGGCTTTCAATGGTCTGGGTTGCGTGCTTCTGCATTGCTCACAGTAGCGGACCCAAGACGGAATACCTTTTGAATTTCAACCATCGCGCCAGGTCCCTGAATTACATCCGCTAAACTACAATGCGTTTGAAGTTCCTATCCCACCTTTCTTTGATAGTTTTGTCAGAGGCCTCAGGAAGTCCTTGGCTAGCCACATAGTGAAAACTTGTGGGAAGAATTAGGGGGGTTCTTTCGTTTTCTTGTACTATTTCGAGAGTTAAGCATGTGTAGGTTTCGAGACGGTGTTTATGGTTATTTTGGCCAAATTTGGGCATGATATAGGGCACGCGGCGTCCTTGTCGGTCCATTGGTCACGCATATTTGTGGTAGGCATCTTGAGGACTTCCTTCCACTAGCACACATGATTCCGTTCATGGTATTACTGGTCAGGCACTTGACTCTTGACACACCTTTGATCTGTGGAAAGTCAAGTCAGAGCGCGCAGGACATGACGAAGGAACGCATTCCTCTCATATCAATTGGACTTTCGATGCCTTAGCTGGGCGACAACTATTAAACCTCCTTTTTGATAGATAATTTTAGATAATTTTTATTAAAGACCCGTCGGGGTCCCATCAAAGCAAGTTAAAATAAATTTGCATGCGAGTTTTAGACGAGGTAGGCTGAATCTTTACAAAATGCAATTCATAGTTTCTGAATTAGAAGTCCATTGAGAAACATGAAGATTGAGGGGTGAAAAAAAACTCCTCGGAAAAAGTTAAAAATGATTGGATTAATTTTACAGGAGAAAAAACCCCTCTTTAAAAATAATAACAGAAAAAAAAGCGAGCAGGACTGGCCTATAGGTGGCGGTATATAACGGAATGTTTTCGGTCATCGTCAGGGTATCAATAAATGTCCGCCTTGTTGGGTACGAATGTGGGTCAGACAGGACTGGCTTGCAAATGGCATTGTATACGGGATTCACAACTCAGATCCTCTGGGCCGGATTGGTACGCCGCGTCAAAGAGGCCAGACGAGAGGAACCGAGATGCGATCGGCCACAGCACGCTTCGAGCTCAGCCGAGCAGTGAGGAAGGGAGGTACGACCGAACTACTAGTAGACAGTGAATACGGAGGGTTCCGTCGTGAGCGTCGACAGACCGCATGAGGTCGGAATGCGGGAGATGACATCAAAAACCACGAAAATTGTCGCTATGGGGGGAAGGATAGCGATGGATTTAGAAACCAATTAAAAACAGGGGTTTCTAATGATATAATTAAGAGTTACCACTTAATCTACCACTAAATCCCAGGAGGACCCTTCTCGAAGTCAAGAACCTGAGTGTTCGGGAATGAGACCGTTAACAGTGCCTTTATGCTTTCCGGTGTAAGATGGTTGCGTAATTTCGACTTGAATATCAGTAACCTAGGCGATAATCTAATTTCAGGCGGAAGATTATTCCAAAGGAAGGCATATTTGGAAGCAAAGAAGAGGGAGCGCTTAGATGTAGTACAAAGAGGCGGCGGCGGAATCACCATGCAGGAGTTGCGCGTGGCATAAGACCGATCTCTCAGAGTGAGAGTGTCAATGTGCGGAAGACTGGAGCTAGAGTTGATGCGAAAAAGGAAGCAAAGGCCAGCTTCGAGTCTTCTAACCCACAAAAACTTAATGTTCGCCAGCTGACATCTCTGAGTATAAGAAATACTGGACGAAGCTTGAGAGAACAGTTTCCGAGTGAAAACCCTCTGAGCATTTTCGATTTTATTACGGTCGCAGGCGCTCATTAAACCGAAGAAAGGACAGCAATATTCGAGGACTGGAAGAACGAGCATTTGATAAAGTCTTAGCTTCATTTCCGGAAGGAAAAAAATATGCGATATGAATCCACATATCTGCGCGGCTTTGGCAGAGATTCTATCTGCATGAGGTGATAAAGCAAGTTTATTTGTATAAATTAGACCTAGGTCCTTTATGGTGAGGCATTCTGAGAGTGGGTTATTCTGAAAAATTATGGGACCAGGAAGTTTGGTAGGACCAAAAGACATGAAACTACACTTGGATGATGAAAACTCCATCTGCCATGTCGAACCCCATCTGCTTAAGCGTAGTAAATCGGCATTAATTTTTTCAACACAAACATTTGCGGTGTCCTTAGAGTATGAGTAAACACAATTAAGGTCATCGGCATAAATAAAAATTTGCGCATTTCCGAGTTCAGTCGAAATATCATTGATGTACAGAAGGAAGAGTAGCGGACCCAGGACCGTGCCTTGAAGTACGCCACTCGTGATCGAGTGAGGTGTCGAGTAGCTATTACCGACCATGACTTTCTGATATCGGTTGGACAGATAGGACCTAATGAAGTCGAGTAGAGGCGGCCGGATGCCGAGGGCTTCCAATTTTACTAAAAGACGTCTATGGGGCACCTTGTCAAAGGCTTTGCTAAGATCAAAGTAAATAACAACCACTGACTGCCGCTCATTACGAAGAGAAGTGATTAGATTAAGAAAAGCCAAGTGGCATGTTTCGCAGGATCGTTCAGGTAAAAACCCATGCTGACTAGAGCTCAGAAGCCGATTAGCTAGACAGAAGTCAAGAATTTCATTGAAATTATCCTTTCAATAAGTTTTGCTAATGACGGCGATGAGATTTTTTCGACCGGAGGTATGAGAATGGTCCACGATCGAACAAAACCAGGCAACCCTACCATACCACTGTTTCAGGTGCACTGATTCTTTACAAAATACTCGTAGGCCTGTCAAGACGAGCAGAGGACTTACAACGCAACGCTAACAACGCATTTCCTCATGTAGAAAATGAAGTCAGGTTTTTAAAAACAGCCGTTGACCCGAGAGTTTTCCCTGTAGTTACTGCGGATCGGCAAAAGTCCTTACAAGGGAGGCTGCAGTACAGTTAGGTAACATGCTTTCCGTGGAGGATGTTCCTGCCTCGCGGATTTTCTAACCTCGGCGGGCGTCTCGACTTAAGTGCCCGAATGAGACTGAAACAGATATTGTACATGCTCCATTTTTCAGAGCCTTCTACAGTGCTCCATCTGAATGTCAGTAAATCGGTGTTTGAAACCAAGCGATGTCAACTTTATTGAAAGATTGTCGATGTAAGTGGTCGTAGAGATAAGTAAGGAGACGGCAAGGAGTTGCTTACGAGTGGGAATTTACGCATAACTCATATATTTGGATCTGTATTGACTGTAGGTTTGTTTGAACAACATTGACGGGTGCTTCTTAGTCCACTTCCAGGAAGATCGTCGGGTTGACTGATCGGGAATGGAAGGCCTCAACTCTTACATAGATTCCACTTTAACTCCCAGTCCACTCTATCCCAAATTGTCAAAAATGCAAAGATCGTGCACCTGAAAATTGCCATAACCAGTGATCCAGCCCGTTTAATGCAGGCCTATTTTGGCCAACGCCCACAAGCCTCTGAATATCTGCGTTTCCTTGACATACTGTTATAACATTTCAGAGAGCTATGATGATTCGATGCATCGGTGATCGGTAAGTTAAATGGAAAATTAACTCATAGCTACTTTGAAAAATTGACTCGAATATGGTATTAATGGGTGTCAATGCTTGCTGACAGGGAGATTGTTACTGTAGCCGTAGATCGTCCTTTGAGTAAGATGGTCATGCTGATATATAGCGTAGTATTGAAGTAAACTCCAATAAGCTCGGTGGCTGTGCAAGTACGTAGGGTTTTATCGATATGAGGACACTTAAACACTGATAAACATGGCACCCAGATTATATTGGTTAAAGTTTTAAGGCAGAATGAACATGAACACTCATCAAACAGACCATAGTCAGTGTGGATTTTCATGTGCCAAAAAGGCAGTCAAACACACGATGTGAGTTTACAGATTGGAGTGGGCAGCAGAGTCGATAATGTATTGTCAAAAAAGCGCTTGCGTCAATATCTAAGACAAAATTGCCCAGCACAAGAGCATAGGAAAGTTAGTCAACATTCTCATATAGATGAAGTGTGCTTAAATGCATGAACGAATAAGTTGGTTTGTCAGGTTCGGGTCAAAATGGAAATGCGGTCGGAGCCACAAGTGCGGAAAAATCACCCTCCGGA